CCTCAGCTTTCTCCTTAAAATGGTGGAGCTGAAGAAGCAAATTACCTTAAAAAAAAAGTGGAGGAGCTGAACCATGTTGGTCCTCTTCTACCTTGAAAATTTGATGAAGTAAGTCAGCCTTGAACACACTCCAAAAAAGAACTATTGTCAAAATAGATTTCTTAATTTTGAGGGAAAGTTTTTATGCAAGAAGGACCAAAGATAAATGGTATCTGGTTCCTAAAGAAACAAGCTAAGAAAGTATTCCCAGTCTGTTTATTTTTATGTCACTCTGAAATTTTTTTTAAAAAAATCTATTTCCAGTTCCTCTGCACCAGCTCAAATACGCCTTTATTTTTTCAAGAAACATGTATTAAACATCTCCTGGGTACTCAGCCCCATGTGAGGTGCTGTTACTGAATGTCAAAGAACTCGAGAGTCTGGTCGTGGAAAAGAGAAAGCAGCCCTTAAACAGCATGTTCAGAACCCTGTCTCTCAGGCAGCCAGGGCCCTCTTGGCTGTCGATGCGTTTGATGTGGCAGTCCTCAGATGTTGATTTTGTCCTGAGTTCTGCATCATCATTGGACTCTGGAGCTGGCCTCAGCAGCACCCTCTCCACTCCTGCACCCAGGTGTTATCCCACAGCTACTTACTTCTGGGTCCCTTTGCTCCGTGCAGGCAGCCCTCTTGGACAGGGCTCCATCCAGATGGCTGCAGCCAGATCACACTCTGAGGTAGCTCCTTGACTCATGGGAAACACACATACACTACAAGGGTGGGTTGCCCTACCACCGGCCTCACCCTGCTGGCAAGGGCTGCCCCAGGTAGCCTCCGGCCAGGAAAGAAGCAAGCATCAGTATGTTTCACTTAAGACCACAAACATCACCTGTCAAGCTGCCCCAAGGACTCTCTCTCACAAAGGGCTCCTACCCGGTGCACCGAGATGGGCCTCATAAGTCACTGCGCCTGGGCAAGCATCCCTCCAGGGAGTGAGATAACAAGCCCTCGTTACTGGCACCTCCAGTTTCTGTGCGTGGTTCTCTTGGAGCACCCACCACCCTTCACTGGGCATGAAGAAAAAGGCAGCTCCCTCTGCCCCCCGCCCCCAGGAGGAAGGAAGGGGACATCAAATACTTGCTCTCTTCATCCTGTGATTCCTACAGACACCAGGCTTCTGCCTCTGTAGGCAGAATAGGGCATGACGGTGAGTACGGAAGGACCATTTTGGCTGCCTTTCAGCAAGCCCTGGAGGGATGGTCTCGCAGCACTCTCGCAGGCTTGGTGTTACTTCCTATTGGCCTTAGCTCTGGGCTCCAGCTGAAGGTCCAAGACAACAGGGGAAATCCCAAATCACATCATTCTAGATAGTCTTTATACATGCTGCAGCCTTCATTTGTTCTCAAAACCCAGCCACATCTCACTCCAAAGCCACCTAGACTTGAACTTTGAATCCATAAGAATGAGAAGTTGAAAAGCTACATATTTCTGACTGCTGTTTTAAAACACTAATGTTACATTGCATTAAAGCATTCCTCCATGGAGGACTTTCTCTTTACCTGCTTTGCCCCATTTCTCAAATGGTTTGTATTTATTGTGGGTATCGCTAAAATATTGTGAGTCCCGAAAGCAAAAAACCCAGTCCCAGAAATTGAAGAGGGAGATGAAGGTTGGCATGTCATGCATGCACATCCAGATCGTCTCCAACTTGGGGCTCACTCAACTGAGATCCCTTCCAGTTGATAGCACTGGGGGCAAAACAACTCTGAGGTTCTCAACGGAGTCCAGCTGGCATAGGTTTCTGGGCCTTTGGCTGTATGTCTTTGGAATTTGGGAATTCTTTGAGGACAAGAACTGTCCTCTTTTTCATTTCCGTAACCCCAGTAAATAGAACTGCACTGCCCAGTACATAGTAGGAGCTCAGTTGGTGGATGGATGGATGAGTCAACAAGGGCTCACTTCTGCTGGTGACAAAGTGAGCCCCTCCCCTCTCTGCCCCTTCCTGCCATGGTTCTTACTTGCCCTTCTGCTTCATGAGCAAGCGATTGAGATTCACCATCTATCCTTAGCTATCCATTGTGTCCAGTGCCTGCCTGGACTGCTCCAGTCCTGGGCTCTTCTAGGAGCTGGAGGGGCAGAGTCCAGTGCCCCCACCTCAGACAGGAGAGCCCTTCTTTTAATTCCTTCTACTGCTTCTGCCTTGATGGGAAGCACCCAACCTCTCCCTCATCCCACCACTAGTCCCACTGCACTTTGGGCAAATATGTGATGAACTATATCAGGCCAGACCAAAGAAGCAGAGGAAAATTTGGTCTGAGCACTTTTTGGGGAGCAGGGCCCTAAAAATGTTGACCCTCCAGGCATCTGTATGCCACCTGTGAAGTGGCTGTAAGGCTAGAACAGTGGGTCTCGCTTTACTACTCTGTGCCTCAGTTTCCTCATCCGTAAAGTGGGAATAATAAGGGTATCAACCTGATAGGGTTGTCTGAGGTTAAACGAGGGACTATAAAGCATTTTCACTAATAACTAGCATCTAGTAAGTGTTCAATAACAGTAGCAATTCTTACTGTTGGTACAACTACTCTTACTCTCAGAAGTTAGTACTTGTGCATAAGATTTCCAAATACCTAAGGAGTTTATTAGAATACAGATTTCTGGACCCCCTTTGCAAATTCTGATTCAGTAGGTCTGGAGTGGGGCCCAGGACTCTCGATGTTTAACAGCTCCAGCTGGTGCTGCTGCAGGTCCTCAAGAAAACACACTGACATAAGACCTAGGGAATTTTTCAACTTCTGGTTTCTTACTTTTGGTGGGTTGGTTTTTTTCTTCTATTTTATATTGCATATGTACAGTATTTCATTTATCTCTGTAGGCTAGTCTGGGAACCTAACACTATAGATAACATTATTTCTATGGGAAAATCTATTCGCTAGTTCCAAACTTCAAAATGTACAGTCCTTAGAGGTAGAAGCCATTCAGAGGATGAAGACTGCCCATGTGCATTCTACAGAGATTTGGGTGAACTTTTGTGAGCCAGCCACATATCACTAGTTCCCTAAATGTTAACACAGTTGATCTCTGAACACCACGGAGGTTAGGGGGGCCCACCCCTGCGTAATCAGAAATCCACATATAACTGGCTCCCCCCAAAACTTAACTACTAATATCCTAGTGTTGACCAAAAGCCTTAGCAATAACATATAACAGTCGATTAACACATATTTTGTATATGTATTATATACTGAATTCTTACCATTAAGTAAGCTAGAGAAAAGAAAATGGTATTAAGAAAATCATAAGAGGGACACCTGGCTGGCTCAGTCAGTAGAGCATGTGACTCTTGAGTTTGAGCCCCACATTGGGCATAGAGTTTACTTTGTAAAGTAAATAAGGAAAAAGACCCCTTCTCATTTTCTAGAGGAGAGGGAACATGGGGGGAATAGAAAACTTGTCTAGAGACTCCTTGCGCTTAACAAGCTGGCAAATGGATATATAACTTTCTATAAAATTGTAATACCTGCTACTGATCTACAGATGAGGGTACAGGGAGATGGGTACTCAGTGCTGATGATATTGTAATTGGGGCAACCTTTAAAAAAAAATAATAAGGAAGATGGGTTCCTGGGTGGCTCAGTTGGTTAAGCGTCTGCCTTCAGCTCGGGTCATGATCTTAGGGACCTGGGCTGGAGCCCTGCATCCGGCTCTCTGCTCAGCAGGGCGTCTGCTTCTCCCTCTATGATCTCTCTCTTTCTCTCTCAAATAAATAAAATCTTTTTAAAAATGACAAGAAAGAGAAAATACATTTAGAGTACTGTACTGTGTTTATTGGGGGAAAAAAACCCGCAGTAAGTAGACCCATGCAGTTCAGACCCATGCTGTTCAAGGGTCAACTGTATAATATTTTAAACAGCATTTTACTAGCCTGTGTACACTGTGCATTTAACCTCTGATTTAGTAGTACTTTCTGAAAGCCCTCATTTAAAAATGGTCACTGTTCTATCTTCACAATGTTCTCATTGGGCATCTTTGTCATTATGTATTTATCATAAGGCATTTTTATGTATTTATCATAAGACTTTATCTTGCATCAGTATAAATAACTGTAACCTGAAGGATGTTTACAGTCAGTATTTGACCTGTACACCAGCATTGTGGCACATGGGAGGAGGGAAAAAAGAACTAAACAAAAACCAATGAAAAAAAAAAAAACCCACCTATTTTAGAGAAGTTAGGAAATAGACATGGCAGACTAGCCAGAATCCATTTTAACTTTTCACTTTTCAAAGCAGACTGTCAAATGAGCCATTTCGTTTGAGGTAGAAATTAATATTTTAATTGCATTTCTACCCTACAGAGACTTTTCCTTAAAGAATTAAATTAATTGTCTTCAGAAAGTCAAATTTTGGATCAGTTAGATTTGTGGCATTTTTGCAATCTATTTAGATTCTTTTCAGTGTCTTCTCATGCTCTGTGAATTTGCAAATTCAAAAGGAAAAAGTTCATGTCCTTGATTTCCTGCTGAAGGATGCCAGCACTGATACTGTTAATAAACAGCCCTAGTAAAACAAGCATAAACCTTTTGTGAGAACATTCCTTCCTAGAAGGAGTTGGGTTTGCCCTTTCCCAAGATTTAGATTTCGGTGAAAATTCTTTGAGATGTGTCTTGGCCAGAAAGCATTCTTTCATTTTGCTCTGTATCCATGTTAGTGACTGTTGCTTCTACCAGAGGCAACAAAATATTGCAATTCTGAAATAGTGATCAATTTTAAATGAGAAAGGAAATTGCCACATTGACAGAATCTTGGACCATCTATTTGAAGATGATTTTCTAAAACAATACACGTAAGACTCCTTGCAACAAGTTTCACTGAATGAGTAAGAGATTATTAATGGGAGGAGACCACTGAAATCATCAGCCAGCGTTTGTCAGAGGAAGATATTGTTTAGTGAAATAATAAATATGCAGCTCTGAACATTTAGCAAAGAATTATGAGTGTTGATCGGATTGTCTTCTTTGCTTTTAGCTATATGACAAAATTAACACAAAGTCTTCACCACAAATCAGGAATCCTCCGAGTGATGCAGTACAGAGAGCCAAAGAGGTAAGTGATATATTTTGTAAATGTATCTGGGAGTCACAGTTGGACCATTACAGTCAGATTTAGTATTTCTAAGTTTATCACTGAACATTTTACATACAGGAAAGAAAGAAAAGCCTCAGGGACAACAATGCCTCGATTTCTAGTTCTGGTTCTGCTATGTAAACTTGAACATGTTAATATATCAGTTGTACTTCTCTCTCTTTTTTTTTAAATAAGTTATTTTACTGCACTTGGTTGGAAATAGGCTATGAAAATTTGAGTTGCTTTTTTTAAGGTGGTAGTGTTTGGAAGTTAATTAAATATCTATAGCAATTAAGTATACTGAGTTTAGAGAAAAGTTGTTTTTATAAATTGTCGGCTAGTGTACATGGCTGTACCTGTTACCAACTTTCTTTTTAATGGTTTTTTTGTTTTGTTTTGTTTTGTTTAAGTAATCTCAACACCTAACATGGGGCTTGAACTCACAAGCCCGAGATCAAGAATCGCAGGCTCTGCTGACTGAGCCAGCCAGGCATCCCAACTTTTTTATTATAGAGATATGATATTGCAAAAAGTTTGGATAAGTAAAAATCCATCCATAATCCCAGCACCCTAACAGTAATTTTCATTTCTGCGTATACACTTCCAATCACTACCATTTGCATATAAATTTTATTTTCTATTTTTTTGCATATAAATTTCATGTAGCTGCAATCAAAATGTATCTTTTCTTACTTGATGTTATGTAATCATTTTTCCAATGTTTATACTTGGTCTTCATAAATATAAATTCTAATGAGGGGATAAATCTTTGTTATTACTAAATCATAATGAATTAGCAACTCCATTGTTAGACATGTAGTTTTTTTTCTTTCACTTTTGATGTTATAAAAGTCTTATGCAAATTAATATTTCCCTTTAAAAACAGTTTTTATACAGTGAGACTACTAAGTAAAAAGAGTATGAAAGACAGAATCCCTTCCCTACCAGATTTTAAACACCACGCCTGCACTAGAGAGCATCGCATGTTCACTGAGAAACAAAGACCAAGGGTGCTGCTGGACCTGCCCATGCGGTCAAGGGCACCAGCCAGGAGAGGTTCTCTCTGACTTACTTAGGGGATCACACCTCACTGTTTCAAAATCACTGTGAGAGTAGCAGGGGACCAGAGAGAACACAGAGTTTCATCCTTCCATTTCACTGGTAGAGGCACTCAAAGCATAAAATACACGGAGGAGAATTTGCTTAACTTCATTACACAGTATGAATTAACAGCATAACCAGCACTTGTTAAGGGTTCCTTTAGATAAGAAAGAAACCCTGTAGTGTTTGTTTGGTCTTTTTCCTTCTTCCCTGAGGGGGTGATTGAGTAGCACTTAGGTATGCCTGGGAAATCTAAGCCTTAGAGGTCATCTAAATGACCTCTTAATGCTCCTTCTTGCCCCAGTGTTAAGATTCTCCAAGATAAGGCGAGAGATTCCTCTGGGTGGATGACTTGTGTGCCCCTGACACCCAGTCCTGCTGAAGCAATCTTTGATTGGCTCAACTTTAGGAACTGAGTGCAATGTGTTTAACTACTCTGTGAGTCCAACCATCTACGGTTAGAACTACAGCCGTATGTTTACTCTGGGGGGCCGGGGTGGGGGGCGAACAGCAGAGGCTTTCTTCTGGGTCTCCTGTCACATAGTCAAATTTTAAATGGAGAAACTCCATCCTGATAACGGGTAACTTTTAGAGTGGAAAGAGAAGTTTTCAGTGGTTTTTGGTTTTAACTGTTCTCTTGGATTCCCTGGCAGCTGATGCTAGGAACTATTCGCAGAAGCATGATGTCCTCTATGTGAGGAGATGTGTGTGGAGAGTAACACTGACTCTGCCAGGCTGCAGGAAAATTACTCAATTGTTTCTTTTCTTTAAATGGTTCTTCATGTGAGCCCCTGTCATTTTAATCTTTCTAAAAGGAATCGACCGTTTTGTTAATATAAAAAAAGCTATTAACTTTCATTACAGATTCATTTTGAGAGTGAGTTTGGAAAAGATTTGTAGAGATATTTTCCCATTAAGTTAATTAAGTTGCTTACACCTGTAGTAAATATGTATTGTGGACTTGTCATTTTGTTTTGTGTTTTTCAATAACTTTTCGGGTTATAGTTGGGTAATATAGTCAGAGAAATTATAGCAATTTGTTTTATTTTTTTTATTGCCATCAGTAAAGTCCCTTTATATTGGTAACCTTTAATAAAGTGATGAATTTTTTCCAAAGTAATTGTTTTGCTTGCTGTAAAAAAATCTACTCATAATTTTTAATTTAAAAGAATTCTCTATTTTCTGAAGCTGGCATCCTGTTTATCCTGTTACACATCTTGCTTATTTTTTAGGTATTGGAAGAAATTTCATGTTACCCTGAGAATAATGATGCAAAGGAACTAAAGCGTATTTTAACACAACCTCATTTCATGGTAAGTACCAATTAAACTTCTATAGAACTAAAATCTCACTTTCAAAAGAAGTTTTTAATAATCCTCGTAAAATGTGGTGGTCTTCATCAGATACGTTGTTACTCATACAATATCAGACTGTTAAGATTACAGTACCACTCTGAAACAAGTAATACATTATATGTTAGAAAGAAGATAGTAGGAAGGAAAAATGAAGGGGGGAAATCGGAGGGGGAGACGAACCATGAGAGACGATGGACTCTGAAAAACCAACTGAGGGTTCTAGAGGGGAGAGGGTGGGGGGATGGGTTAGTCCGGTGATGGGTATTCAAGAGGGCACGTTCTGCGTGGAGCACTGGGTGTTATACGCAAACAACGAATCATGGAACACTACATCAAAAACTAATGATGTAATGTATGGTGACTAAGATAACGTAATAAAATAAAATTTAAAAAAAAAAGATTACAGTACCAGGTAATACCAAATACATCAAGATCCTTTTTGTTTACTTTGTGTCATAGTCGTAAAGATGCTATTCCTAAGGTCGCTCTTCAAGGACTGTGTGGTCATCACACAAGGAATGTGCTTCCTGCTAGGATAGTTCTTAAGTCACTGGAACTGTGTATGGTACTTAAACCACAGAGAACTCAAACTGGAGACAGTTTTCACTAAAAAAGAATTCTCTGAACCTTGGTGATTTATGGGAAGAATCCCATCTCTTGACGATGCAGACCTCTTATACTCTCTTCATGCATTTCTATTGTATGGAAAATGGGGACAGCACCTGTAGTTAGCGAGTTTTAACACTAAATGGTTAAACAGAACTCAAAATAGATGAGATACTTTTCTGTGAAAGAAGGTCCAGGATTGTCTACTTAACTGCAATTCAAAAGCATGATTACAAGTGGAAATTCATGTTAAATATAACATTTTTTATTATGTTCAGTTAGCCACTGTGTAGTACATCAGTTTTTGAATATAACATTTTTAAAACATTAGCTACATGGGGGGCCTGGGTGGTTCAGTCAGTTAAGCATCTGACTCTTGATTTCAGCTCAGGTCATGATCTCATGGGTCATGAGATGGAGCCCTGTGTCAGGCTCCATGCTCAATAGGGAATCTTCTCAAGATTCTCTCCCTCTCCCTCTCCCTCTGCCCCTCCACCCATTCGTGCTCGCTCGCTCTCTCTCAAATAAATAAAATCTTAAAAAAAGGGTAGCGTGGGTGGCTCAGTTGTTAATCATCTGCCTTCAGCTCAGGTCATGATCCCAGGGTCCTGGGATCGAGCCCCGCATCCGGCTCCCTGCTCAGCGGGAAGTCTGCTTCTCTCTCTTCCACTCCCCCTGCTTGTGTTGCCTCTCTCGCTGTGTCTTTCTCTGTCAAATAGATACATAAAATCTTTTTTAAAAAATCAAAAAAAAAAAAAAAAGAGCTAGGAGAGGTTGGCAGAGGCCAGACCAAGTCGGGTCTTCCAGGCTGTGGTAAGGGGTCTGGATTTTCTCCTGATGGTGGTAGGGCAACACTGAGTGACTGCAAGCAGGAAAATATGATCACATTTGTGCTTGAAAGAGAATGGATTCTGGTAGGGATAAGAATTCGAAGAGGGAGGCCAATTCGGAGGCTGTTGTGAAAGGTGGTAGAGGCTTGGAAAAGGACGGAGCTGGTGGGAAATGGGCAGGCTGCAATTCAGCACTGGAGATGGTTGGACACGACAGGACTTGCTGATGGCTGGGATGTGAGGGAGTGTGGCTAACCCCATTTTACAGTTCAGAGAGGAAACTGCCCTAGGAAGGTAATGAAGCTTGCTAGAGGCCACTCACCTAGTAAGTAGCCTCACTGAGGTTCAAAACCCAGATCTTGCGGGCTCCAATCCCCATGCTCTTAAAAGTTGGTTGACCTATAGTGAGGGTCCATTTTCCTATAAACTTAACTCGAGCTCACTGGTCATTCCCAAATAAGTATATGTTTAAATAATATCCTATGTGGAAAATATACTTCTGAGCTATATATACCATGTCAAATAAGCTTTTAAGTGCTGGAGCTTTTATCTTATAAGCATTTTAAAGTCATGGTTTCAAATTCTTGGTATTTTTAAAGAAATATTAATAGCTTAAAGGGAAATATTATAATGCTTATGTTTTTATTATACTGAGGTTTGGGAGTTATTCTTAGCATAATTATCATTTCACACTTAATATCTGGCTTTTTCTTTGCTTTCTGAACATTAAAACATGAGGGTTTAACATTGAATTACCTGACACTTAAAAATATAGATACTTGTGAATATTTACAGTAATTAAAGAATAAAAAGGAATAGATTTAAATTATTTTTTGAAGTCTGTATTCTATCTTTAGAGGTCATGATAAAAAATATTATCACACTAATCCTTTTTTCAATTACTCCATTTGAAAGACTTTTTTACAAAAGAATAAATAGATCCTTTGCTTATTGCAGTTGTAATAAATAGGATCTAGGAGTGCCTGGCTGGCTCAGTCTGTAAAGCATGCAGCTCTTGATCTCGGGGTCATGAGTCCAGGCCCCACACTGGGCATAGTGCCTACTTAATTTAAAAAAATAAAATGAAAGAAAGGACCTAGAACAGAAGATTGTGAAAGCAAATTTGTATCCTACTTTCTCAAAAAACAAGACGGTTAAAATCACCTTGGGTTATCATGGTATTTTTATTATGTAGTGGTCCATTGTATGATTTATAATTACGAAGCCAGAGAAGCCACTTTTCAAGCGTAAAATTCATATTTTTCCTATTCATTTTAAAATAGATACTTTTTCACTGTAGTCTGAAGTTGTTGTCCACGTCCTCACTAGAGTACAAAAAGTGAAAGTATTTCTTTCCTATTACATGATTCTTATGTAATTAAACCTAATAGCTATTTCAGCTTAGTAACAATTGCTCAGTTATACCTCATAACATATTTGAAGAAAAATATTCAAACTTAGATTTTCCTATTTTTTATTCTGCATATTTTTTTTTAGATATTATTTATTTATTTTAGAGAGAATGCACATGCACGTGCTAGCAGAGGGGAGGGACAGAGGAAGAAGGAGAGAGAGAACGAATCCTCAAGCAGATTCCCCACTGAGCTGAGCATGGAGCCGTTGAGGGGCTCCATCTCATGACCCTGAGGTCATGACCTGAGCTGAAATCAAGAGTTGTACACTTAACCAACTGAGTCACCCAGGGACCACTTGTATATTCTTTTTCACTGGCTTCTGTAAACAATCTATAAGTAGCCCCTTTTTTTCCTGTTTGCATATACATTCGAACTTTAGGGGTAAGTTTTATTTTGGGATAACAGTGGCAAAGCATGGTTAGCATCAAGTATGACATTATTCAGTGACATAATTTGAGTGTTTTTCTGTTAAAGTTCTATGTGGTATTTTGTGATTGTTGGGACTTATCCTTCCTTATAAAGAATACACTAAATACAAGTGTTTGCTTATATAATTTAAAAGGGTGACTAGAAATCATTTGCAAAAAACAGCAGAAACACTTTCTCCAACCCATTCTCCAGCCCATTCTCCTGATGAAAGCTTGGTTCTCCACTTGCCAGGCTCTATAGCCTCCAGTCATACGAAGCCTGCTTTTGGAAAATTCCCTGATTATGGAAGCTACATCTATAGTTGGTATGATGAACCTAATAGTAGCTGATGAAGTTTTTCAGTTCGTCTATTATTGATTTTTGCTTTCTGCCCTAAATATCAATCTCTTAAGTAGCCACAATTAACCTGGGAAAAGAGAGATTAACTCACAGAGCACAATCACCACCCTTGGGCCTGGGGTACCAGTGCAGGGTGCAGTCAGGGCAAGGGTCAGGAAGCCAAGGTCCCCAGGGCTTTCGTGGAGCCCTGCTCTCAAGCGGTGCAGTGCTCAATGCCCCCTCACCCAGACCCAAGTTTAGACCCACCCTCTGTGATCTTGAAACTAGCTGCCATTTGCATGAGAAACCCAAACGCATATGTTGCTCCAAGCATATGCTCTACTGATGACAGATCAACACCACCTTCTTTATGACTTTACTGCATCGTTACCTTTTATTTTTGCCTCGTATGCATGCCTTTAAAATTAAAATAACCAAGTCATGACTTTAATAAGCTTTTTAATTAAATGACTTAATTTGAGATGCTAAGGGTTATACTTTTAAAGCAGTTTTAATTGCATTTCATTATTTCTGGATATTTCATTACCACACAGATCACAGATTGAAACAGAACTGAGTTTGTAGTTAGCACACAAGAAAATATCTGTGCAGAGCTCCAAACATTACTGATATTCGGCCGTAAAATTCTCTTAGAAGTAGAAATGTTCAAATATTCATGGCTATTAAAAAACTTTTTTATGATGACACAAAAAGTACAGTAAATGGGAGAATATCCTTTTTTGGGAAACCAGGGATCTTGATTATCCAGTTTCACCAAGATAACATATGCAGGTATCAAGACAAATCACTTTTTCTTTGTTCACAGGCTTTGCAAAAATATTGATAATAGTAACTGTCAAGTTATTTTTCATTTGGGCAAGTGCTCCAAAAAATAAAAATAACAAAAGCATTACATAGATTTAGACTTTGAGCTCATATCGTATGCAATATTTTGGAACATTACATTTTTTGGGGCACACTGGTGTGTGTTTTCATTCCTTTTACTAAGTCATATGTTATAAATTATCTTCATCCTTTGGGTTATATAAAAGAGTTCTTGGGGGAGCACCTGAGTGGCTCAGTCGGTTAGGCATCTGCCTTCCGCTCAGGTCATGATCCCAGCATCCTGGGATGGAGCCCCACATCGGGCTCCCTGCTCAGCAGGAAGCCTGCTTCTTCCTCTCCTACTCCCCCTGCTTGTGTTCCGTCTCTCGCTGTCTCTTTCTCTGTCAAAAAATAAATAAAAATTTTTAAAAAAAAAGTTCTTGGTTAATACTATCCAGAAAGATATTTGCTCACAACTACAATTATTGCATTGTTTCTTTTTAAATGTGTTCCCATTGTAAGCCCCAGCCCAAATTTGCCACCTCTATTTACAGATGATTCTTTCTACTAAGTTGTTTGAAATTGCATTATGTCTGCCTTTATTTGAAATAACACACTTCTGCTAGAATAGTGCTATTAACAATATTTTTCCTTTCTTCATAAACTACCAGGCCTTACTTCAGACTCACGATGTAGTGGCACATGAAGTTTACAGCGATGAAGCATTGAGGGTCACACCTCCTCCCACCTCTCCCTATTTAAATGGTGATTCTCCAGAAAGCGCCAACGGAGATATGGATATGGAGAATGTGACCAGAGTCCGCCTGGTCCAGTTCCAAAAGAACACAGATGAGCCCATGGTAAGTTTTCTAGACTCTCAAGTCCCAGCCTGAATTAGGGCTCCCAACTTCAGCCTACAATACTAGGGGGTGGGGAGGGAAGGAGAGCACAAGAGTGTTAAAGCGGCCTGTTTCCAGATCCTCTACCACCTCCCAACCCGCACCAGAACTGTTCCAGCTAAGGCCATGCCTGAGGCCTCCTCCCACCTCTCCTTTCCCAAATGCTCTGCAACTTCACCAAAAAAGGACCTACCTGGTACAGTACTCCAGGAAAAACCTTGGGGGCACAATTTGAAATACTGGCATTGAAAAAGCAAATGTCTAATGACATTGTGAAAAACATCCACTTACAAGATCTGTTGCCTTCAACACAACCAGAGGAAGACTAATTTGGAAGGCATCCCAAGAACTGAGCAATGTGGCTAAAATAACATTCCTTCCATTCACATCTACCTCTTTAATACGAATTCATTTTCTCGGGGTGTAGGAATAGCATCGGAATGGAATTGATGCTGAACCTGCCTCATTGTCACAGAATCCTCATAGATGGGGAAAGGCTCCTTGGTGTTAACCGAGCAAAGTGGGGCATGGGGCAGGAGGGCAGAGTGGAGACCATGCAGGCCAACCAAGCAGCATGTGCAGAAGCCCCCTAGTCAGAAAGGCTCTTCGCGTAGTTTCAGAATGGAAAGAAGGCACCACGGCTGCCGTGTAGGAAACGGTGCCTGGCAGGAATGGGACACACGAGTGTTGAAAGAAAGACATGTTAAGGATTCTGTTCTTTGTCTCAAAGACAGTGGGAGGGTCTTAAAGAGTTTCAAGCAGGGAGAGAAGATCAGATTTGCATTTTCAAAAGACACCCTCCAGAGAATGGATTAGAGGAGAACGAGCGAGGTTGTAGGGAGACCAGTGAGGAGGTTATTGCTTCAGGACCAGGGAGAGCGGATGGGACTGGGAGCTAGAGGCGCGGATACCAAATGGAAAGAAGTGAACAGACTTAACAAAAAAGTAAAATCAATAGCCCTGGATAATAGATCGACAGTGGGGACTGAGGGAGAAACAGTTACAAAGGATGTCCCTTAAGCTTTAGACTTTCACAACCAGATGGACAGTGATGCTACCCATTGAGAGAAAGACTATTGGAAAAGTTCCGTATTTGGGGGAGGAATCCTATCTTTAGGGGGAAGAGGGGGAAAAGGCATTCAAACAACGCATTCATATCTTTCCCTCGGAGCATAGAAGAGGGATATTGGGATATGGCAAAACAAATTCCCTTCTTAACAAAGTTGCCCAGTTGCTTTCCAGATTAAAGGGAGAGCTACAGAGCAGTGATTCTCTGACTGTGATTTCCAGAGAGCCCTCAAGCCTAGATGTTTCCGGTTGTAATTCTCACTGATCTCTGCTCAGCACTTGCAGTAGGCAGGGGGCATGTGAATCACTTCACCCCTTTTTGGTGCCATCCAAACAACCCTCTGGCTTAAGAGCACAGGCAGTAACTGCAGCCTTTGGCTGCCTTGGGCAGATGACTTCAAGTCTGCTCATACTTTGCTTAGCAATTATTGCCAGAAGCATACTTGACTAAGTGACTCCCAAGATCCCACCTGGCTCTGAAGGTCTAATATGCATTTATTCATATTATCTATTCATTCACTCATTTAGCAAATGTTTGTTAAGTGCCTACTGTGCGCAAATCACTGTGTTGGATGCCAGTGATGTAGCGACAGGTAAGACACGGCCCCTTCCCAGAGCTCACTTTCCCCAGGGCTGCCGGCATCAAATAAGTAGGCAGTTTAGCACAGTTGCTAAACACGAACAGTTACGGTAGAGCTATAAAGGAGAGAAGGCTATGTCCAAGAGGCAAGAAGTGGTGACGTTCAGCCAAGCAAAATAGACAGGAAAGCTGGAGGGGACCACAAGAAGGAGGCCCAGAAGTGTCCTGTGATCATCATATTCTAAAGCAGCCCAATGACATTTGTGTGATCTTTTCTATGGAGGCTCACTACCTAAACACCATAGACTGAGTAAAAGTGTATCCTTCAGTTACTTTTCTCAGAAAGCATAAAATGGCCCTGAGTCTCCCCTAAAAGTCTCCTTAAAAAAATCCCTTCTCTGTTCTGTCTTTGATCCTACTGAAAGTGTGAGTTCTCCCTTTGACTGGTTGCCATAAAAATGGGAATTATTTGATGTAATATAGATATTTTCCATAATGGAATACAGTTCTCTGTTACATTTAATACAGCTTCATTTGCTTGGTTAGCTGTCTTATTAAAAGCATTATATTACTGTGCAGGATATGCCTATATGATCTCTTTTGCTTTTCAGACCTTCTGTAATGTGTCCAACTATGTTAGATCCACCCTACAAGGGTGATACACTCCCATTTACACCCTTGTTTTCCCATTTGCAACTTCACCTTGAAATTACTCTCAGTTGATTGAGACTCCCTTAGTTGCAAGTGATGAAGACTGGACTTGAACTAGCTTGGACAATAGGGGAAAGGCTTATGTAAACAAGGAAAGGCCAGGAGTCTACCCCAAGCTGGGGGTAGGTTCATGAGTAGGCACCCATCCCAAGCTGGACCAGTCCCTTCCCTGGAATTTGGGAACTTGGGAACAGAGAGAACATGAGTCAGTTCCTCTCTGCAAAGAAATGTTTGGGGCAGACAAAATAATAAATGTTATTAACTCTAGTCGGTTTGAGGTGAACTTCCCTCTAGTCATAAGAGACCCTGTCTGTCTCATCACTGTTGTCTATTCACTAATGAATAGTCTCATTCATTATGTGCCTAGCAGAGTACCTGCCCACATAACAGGATCGCAGTAATATTGGTTGAATGAATACATTAATTTATTAATTTCAAGGATTGAACCCCCATCATACTGTCATTTCCCTTATGAAATTAGATTAAGTTACACATTAATTTATAGCATTTCTCCAGGAACACCTCTCTTGGTAACCTACGTGCTGATTGAATATACAAGTTGGAAATGAAACTTGAACATTACAGTTGAACATTGGGACTAGAAACATTTTGATATACCAGTTTTTCACATTGCTTGCCTACCACTTCTAAGAACTGCAAAATAGGAACCAAGCAAAGTTACATTTTTGTGGAATTGTGCAGATTCAGAGTCTAAATTATAAAGGTTCAAATATTTTCATGAAGCTTTCCAACACAGTATTATTCTCCAATGAAGAAGATAAGACAGTCCCCCTACACTTATCTCAAATTCAAGACCGGTTTTCACCAGGGGAACTTGTTAAAAATATAGATTTCTGGGCTCCATTCCAGACCTCCTGAATCTAAATCCAAAGAGTGAGTTTAAAAGACAGTATTATTTAAAAGGTCCCCATGTGATTTGTGGGATCAGCCAGGTCTAGTACAAAAAATATGCTTATGAAAGTTTATCTTAGAGAATAACAGGAAAACAAAAAGTAATCTCTATAGACCAGTAGTCTGGCATTAAATATGTGGAGCTTCTACTTCTGGCCAAGATAGAGTAACAAGGACCAGATTCACCCTCTCACCTGAAATAACCAAAGAAAAACGTAAAAGCGAACAAAATTACATGAAAGAACAATTTTCAAGACATTGGACATCAGGCAACAAAGGAAAATGAACCCTAAGAGACAGGAAGCACACAGGGTGAGCCCTATGATTGCCTGACCTTAGTGACTTGAGAGTGTTTCCAGGCCACAGCACAGGAAGGGGGAGCTGAGGCAGAGCAGGCAGACACCCTGACTTGAGGAGACAGAGCTGAGAACCCGAGGAGACCTAGGCACAAGTGCATCGGACAGAGGACTGAAGAAGAGAGAGCTGTGCAGAGAGAGAACCCCAGAGATCTGTAGAGGGTCCCCCTGAAGTAGTCATCTGAGTTATGATCAGTGCATTTATGAGAGGAAACTACCCAGAGCCAAGGAAAGACCATCCAAAAGGATTAGAGGGAACAGTACCCAATACTCACTGCCCATTAGCCACCAACTGGCCTGGAAAACAAATTCGTGGGGCACTGCAGAGAGTGCACAGGAAGATCTTGTCTCAGTAAGGAGGAATAATTAGCCCTAGGCTCAGAATTGCTCAAGACCTGCCTAACAGATCATGAAAGCAAGACCCAGAGAATCAAACTAATTGACCCAAGTAAGTGAACTATATCCCAGAACAAAGCCTAAGAATATTTATAGGAATAAAAAACTTCTTGGGACGCCTGGGTGGCTCAGTTGGTTAAGCGACTGCCTTCAGCTCAGGTCATGATCCTGGAGTCCCAGGATCGAGTCCTGCATCAGGCTCCCTGCTCGGTGGGGAGTCTGCTTCTCCCTCTGACCCTCCCCCCTCTCATACTCTCTCTCTATCTCATTCTCTCTCTCAAATAAATAAAATCTTTTTTAAAAAAAGGAATAAAAAACATCTAGCATGCAGCAAGATAAAATTCACAATGTCTGGCCTTGAATCAAAGATTGCTAGGCATGTAAAGAAGGGGGGAAATGTGACTGAAAATGTGAATAATCAAAACTGACAAAGATATTAAAATTAGCAGAATGGGATTAATGGCAGATCAGACATTTGAGAAGAAAAGATTAGTGAACTCAAAGATACGGCAATAGAAACGACCCAAAATGAAATACAGAAAAAGAATTTTTGAAAAATGAAAAAAGCAGGGGTGCCTAGGTGGCTCAGTCAGTTAAGCATCTGACTCTTGATTTTAGCTCAGGTCATGATCTCAGGGTCATGAGATCGAGCCCCACATCAGGCTCCATGCTGGTTGTGGAGCCTGCTTAAGATTCTCTCTCTCTCCCTTTGCCCCTCCCCCCTGCTTGCATTCGCGTGCTCTCTCTCTCTCTCTCTCAAAAAAAGGAAAAAAGCATCACTGAGCTCTGGGACAACTTCAGGCAGCCTAACATATATGGTTAATTGGATTCTATGAAGGAGAAGAGAGTGAAGAAGAGAGAGAAAGGATATTTGAAGAAATAATGGGTGAAAACATTCCAGACTTAATGAAAGCTATAAATCTTCAGGTGTAAGACCA